TGTTATCTACAGAAGTTTATTAATGACCTTTTGAAGCCTAAGAATTATGTTTCAAGTCCACTGACTTACCGCTGTTGAAATTCTTTCATTCTTATCAGTTAATGAAAGGAGGAGAGAGATCTCTTTGGTTTATGTTGGAGCCTTGGCACCCACGAGGGCTAGGCACATAGCAGAGATACAGTATTTGTTAAATGTATGAATAAGCTACTGTCTTATCTATAAGTTAGATGGTAAATGTATAAAATTTTTGCTATCAATTGTCTCAAAATTCAGTTGTGAAAAAAACCTGTTAGCTCCCCGTCTATCAGAATCCCCCCCTCCATTTCCAATTACTAAATGCTTATCTCCTAGGATAAGGACAAAGACTGGATATCTTTAATCACCACTTTTATTCAAACAGACATCACATGGCTGCTGTTATGATACACTGAGAAGTTCACAAAATTACTGCCCCCCCCCACAAAAAGCATTGATTATAAAGAAACATCAGACAAACTCATATTGAGGGACATTCCACAAAGAAACTGGTTTGTACACTTCAAAATGTCAAGTTATTAAATATAAAGAAAGGCTGAGGAACTGCTCCACACTGAAAGATACTAAAGTCCTAACAGTGTGTGATGCTGGATCAAATCCTGGGCCTATAGAAGACATTTTGGGACAATCTATAAAATCTGAATAAGGTAAATGGAGTAGAGAGTTTTATCATATCAATTTTAATAATATTATTTCAATGATTTTGATGTGGTGGTTATGCAGGAAAGTAATTTTAAGAAAAAATGTCCACCATGACAAGTACCATCAATACTTCTGGCTCTACAGTACGCGTAGATTAGGACAATGGGCAACTTGGACATGATTCTCCATTTGGTCACCTGCAAGCAATCTTTTGTGAAAGGACTAAGAACACAAAGTAATGTGTTGACACTGAATATGAAATTCACAAAGCACAGTGAAAAAGAACATCAAGGTGAGCAGTAAAGGGAAAAGGGTCAAAGACAGAAAGCAGAAAGCATTCAAGTATTAGATAAAAAACACTCAAAAAGGCAGAGTTGGTTGGTCTTGGAATTGGGGTAGTCATCAAGGATAACAGGTATGAGAGGTATGAACAAACAGCCTCAAGCCTAACTGCTTCTATCATTATTTATTATCAGAAAACCCACATTCTGTCACCAGAATTTTAATTTTATTAAAAATTAATTATAAATACTATTCATCAAATAAGAAAAGAAGTCTGACTCATGCTACAATATGAAAGACCCTAAAAAACATTATGGCAAGTGAAAGAAGCCAGACACAAAAGACCACATATTGGATGGTGCCATTTATATGAAATGTCCAGAAAAGGTGAAACTGTAAAGATAGAAGGTAGCCTGGGACTGCAGATGCAGAGGGCAATGAGGATTCATTGCAATCCCGATTTTATTACAGTAAATAGCAACTCATTTGTAATCTCAAAATTGAGGCTCGATGCCTCAAATTTTCTCATTTGCTATTGAGTACCTAACACATAAGGGCTTTATGGAGATCAAATGAAATGCTGTAATTCAGGTTAAAAGCTTAGAACAATGCCTGGCACTTAGGCCTTAAGATGTACACTCACACCCCCATCTTTAAAATGTAGAAAATAAAATGCATGTAAAAATGTAGCAGGCATGTAATAGATTATAAACATGGGGAGAAAGCAAATCCATACTTATTTCAAGATTCAGCAACAAACTACAGTTCAATCTAGACCTACCCCTAATCAAGATAAATAGTTCAAAATACATTGGGAGAACCTTTAAAATATATTCATAAGTGATAAAAACAAAGGAAATATACTAGATGTATTATTCCCCTAATATTTAGGGCCTAAATAAAGTATAAGGAAATGTTGAGATTCTTCCTCAGCCTCTCATCTTCAAAAGTTGACATTTTGATGTGTAATTCCTTAATTACATGATTTTTCAGTATTTCCCATTTTTTTCTCTATATATAAAAGTCCTTTATGGAGAATGGACTTCCATGTTATCCTTTTACTCTAGTAATTTTTTATTATAGAGTAGGCTGTCGTTCACCTTAAATATAATCCTGGACCAAAAAACCCCAGGAGTCACTTACACTGGGGCCAAAGGCACCTACCTCACTGACATACATATGCTCTTCCATGTTTTCTTGCCCTTGATAACATACACTATCAAGGAGGAATCAAAGTTCTCTTCCCAGCAGGTGTCAAGTAACGATACAGATACTGCCTCCTGAACTCAATCCTGTTCGACTCTTTAAATACAGGTATACAAAGTGAAAAGTTGCTAACCCACCACTCCACCAGACTAATAAATACTTGCTTAATTTTAATCTTTTGAAATGACTACTCCATTGAACATAACCTGTATATCTTTGGTTAAACAGTCTTGTCTCACCATCATCAACATTTACAGTTTATTATTTATTATCTCTAAGACCATTTATAAAATGAACTTCTGTTTTGATCATTCCCTAATTCCGTAAGTAGTCCCAGAAAAAGTTCCTAACATGAGAAAGTAGAGACAAATTTCAATATTTGATAAATTTTATCTTGATAACTTCGAAAACAAATTTACTCTTTAAATTGCGTTATAAAAAATACATTAGTCTTCACATTAATTTTACATGGAAATATATAATTGCTTGAATATTTAAATATAGTTTCTCTTTACCAAAAAGTGTCACTCAAAGCCCTACTTACACAAATAATTTAAATGCACAAATGCAAACACACTTTACACAATATTGTCCACACACATACTGTTTAACTTGGGACAATTATAATAAAAATCTATGCAAGATACTGAACAAGTACAAGATTAACAAAATATTCATTGTGGCTGTAGTTCAATTTTCACTATTAAAAGAACTTAATGCATTCTTGAATACACACACACAAAAAAACATCCAACTGTTTTACCTAATCTGCAAATTAAGCCAAAGTGTAATTTTGACAAAGAGGCCCATCTTGCAACCTACCAAATTCTGAAAGTAATTCATTTATAATTTAACTGAAATGATAATTTTTTTGTTTTCACGCTTCTCTAAAATAATAATGATTATAGGAACTTGGGTAAACATTTCCAAAATGTTTTTAAAACATTAGAATTGTACACTTTAATATTTTAGTAATATAAACTTTTTCCTCTAAAAAACTGGAACTTATAAGAGTTTCCAATGGGAAAAAGCTAGTAAATTTTTTTAAGTGTTTATCATTTGAATTATAAGAACTGTCCTCTTTGCATGATGTAATCACGATACATCATAATTACACAGTACATTATTTCCATATGATTTCTCACTTTAAAACTTACATTAAAAGTATGCAGAATGACTACTAATTGTACTTGTGGTAATTATGTGTGTATTTCATAGCAAAAAAGACACCGATATCCACAAGTAGAATATTTTTGTATGTTAGCTGTTTGTTTACGTCCTAATCAGTAGGGCAGTATTCTTCCTAAATTAAAATTGGACAATTATTTAAACTAGTGACCTACACTGATATTTTAAGAAAGGAAATTAAAATATCTGTATATGAGGCAAGGTTAAAGTTGCTTTGCAACTAGAAATATAAACATTTGTCCATTTTACAACATAATTACTGTTCTAAATTTAGAAGAAATTAGAACATACCATCATAACACACTCACAGGTTAAATAATGGCCCCTGAAATAAAACTACATTTAGAAATCAACTGTTACAACACTATATTTAATTAATTCTAAGATAACACATTTTAATCTCTGAAATCATGGTACAATGATATAGCTTCAATCAAATATGATTTATACAATATAGTTGAAATTCATGTTTTCCTTTAACATTAATGATAGAAAAGGATCCAGAATCCTTGGCTTAAGGACAATGGGACATATCCGTACTCACCCAACCAGTGTCCCTGAATAAAAGATCTGAACATACTCTGATTATCTCAGGCCTAAACTACATATCTTAACATCTTTTATTTGAATTATTAAAGTACTTAACAAGTTTAAGGAAAGCCAAACTAATGTACAAATACAGTTTCTCACTTGCCAAATGGGCCTCCACTTGGGTTGTCAATTGTATTAGATCTTTTCAGATATCAAGATTTTAAGTAATTTGTTAATAACAATTAATGGTCTGCCCAAACTACCAAACCAATAATTTCAGTTCAAGCCATTATAAAATAATACAGCAATGTCTAAAATATTATAAAGAGATAAGGCCATAAAATAATCTAGATTTTCATATTAAACCACCAACCCTTCAGGTTCAGGTGCTAGAAAAATATAGCGACACTGGCCAGATCATTCTCCCCTTACAACACAATAATGCTAAAGGAAAACAGAGATTGTATGTTACAGAGATCATGTGTGTGCACGTATCCAAATGTGGAAAGTTAGAAACTTGCAGATCCATTTTAAATAAAGCAGGAGGAGTTTGTGCTATGTATATAAAATTACCAGGCAGTTTTTAAAATCTGGATTAACGATTACGGAATCTCATTCTCTGGAATGCTTTTAAAAGAAATTATTTCTCATTTGTCAACCCCACTCAAAAGTTGAGATAATTTATTAGAGTTCCTTCTTTTTAATTATCCAGTTAGGCCATGGTACTGACAGTGCCACTCTGAAACACACTGAATGGAAGTATATAGTCATTGTTCCAATTTTAAAAAAGTAAAAAAGATAGCACTGAATGTTTGCCATTTTAATTCTTGCAATATTATAACCTGCTGACATGAGATACAATCATAAAAAATAAGAGGGACTTGATTTGGGGGAGAAAATTATACTGTGCTAAATTATGTGACAAATTAAGATGAAGCTCTTCTATAGCAAATGGACAAAGGGTCTTTAGGATCTTTTTAAAAAGGACCTTAAATATTAATTTTAAAATAATATAAAAGTTTTCATTATAATGAAAAATGATGTCTGTAGCAAAATAGTTGAAGACTGATTTTTTTCACCAAAGTTGGGAGAGCTATGTGCACTAAGTACCAAATATATTTCAACTAGTTTTGAATCCTTGACTAGCTTTAATACATACTCTTTTGTTTTGCTTTACTGAGCAACAATTTGTGTAATAGTCGAGTCATCATTCTATCAGAGTATGGTACCTGAGAATATAAACTTCTCAAATCATATATTTTAACAGGTTTAGGACGCTTTCTTTGTTTTTTTCTGGGGAGTTTTTTATTACCATTCCTCTTAGTTACTACAATGTTGGAAGAGTCCTGCACAGGTTGCTTGGGAAAAGAGTTCTTTATAGCTCTTAACTGCTCTTGAGCACCAGCTGATGGGGCTGAGTTTGAAAGCATTTTGGCTGGTCTCTTCACCTTCTTTAGTCTACTGACAACAGATTTTTTCTTCTTAGGGTGCATTCCAAAAAAAGCCCTCCTGGACTGGTATTTGCGACGCAAAAAAACAGAGTATTTTGAAATATACTTTCTAATTATATCACTTAGTTTGGTCCGAATCCAAATTGACTGTTTTTCTGATGTGATTCTGGTTTTCTGCTGGAGAACTGGTCTGTAAACCTTTTTGAGTAAACCTGGCTTATTATTAGTTGTCACCTTCCTTCTCTGAACTTTCTTTTTACTTTTTAAAGACTTATTTCTCACTGATTTTGGCGAGATTTTGGCAGCATCACCGTTTAAGAGAGTCAACTGGAAATTACTTTTCTTCGGAACTTCACTAGAATTCAAGATATCTGATTCTGCCAGAAACACAGAAGACCCACTGGCCCCCTCGTGTGATACTAATTCATGTCTTACCGACAAGGTCATAAAAGGTGCTAAAGTTGAGCTTTGTACATGAGCATCGTCGTCTCCTACACTGGAGTTTAGGTCACTAAAATGAATTTGAACCCAGTTATTCCTGTCTGACTCTGGAACTTCTACATTCAGAGGAGGATTAATAACAATTTGTTTATTCAATGGGTCATAATTAAAGGAACTTGGTTTATACTTGTACTGTATGCTAAAGTCCTGATTGTTTTTGTCACTACGGCGCCTTATTTTAGAGAAGTTGAAGGATTCACCTTCCTTCAGCTTAATATTTGAAGAAAGAACATAGACTAAGGCATTGGGGTGCAAAGGCTTCAAAATGTTAGTATATGATTCAAGAAATTCAACTGTTCCAATTTCGATTTTCTTTTTTGGTTTTCTATCATTGTGTAAAAGTAAACGCTTCAGTGTTGGCGAGTCTTCCTCTTGTCCACTTATTCCTTTTGTCACTAGGTAACTCATGAGATTGGTTTGAGTTCCATGGCTGACTTTTACAGCCTGGCATCTAGAAGCCACTCGCCACGTTTGTTCATAAGGCCTCTTTTCTGTAGGATGATGGCTAGGTTTATCTAAGGCTACTGAAAAGTCATCAATGTTGTAATCACAGTCTAATAGAACTTGAATGAATGCAGTGTCATTAAGGTCAGCCGAGGTAATCTTTTTTTCTTCATTCAAATTTTTTTTTTTTACTTTCCTGGTCTCAGAGTCATCATCAAAGTAACAGTGGAAACGACCTTCCTTAAATTCTTTCACAAGAGCGTTAATTTTCATGTCATCTTCTCTCATTATCTGAGACCATGTTTTCCCCACAAATGAAGGAGGGACATGAGGCAAGGCTTCAAGAACAGGTTCATCAGTACTATCTTCTATGAACCCCTTTGCTTTTTTCAGTTTCCTTACCGATTCAACCTTTGGAGCAGAGCTTGAATGGGAATTATGGTTTACATCTTTGATGTCAAAAGATGCCTTCTTAAATAAGTCTGGTTTATTAACACCTTCTTGAGGCTGGTCAGTGTCAGACTGAAGAGAGGGATCACGTTGAAAATTCACTCCTGAACCACAAGGTTCAGAGCTCATACTTTCTACATCTCTATGCTCTAACTTCAAAAGATTATCTTCTTCAGCCACCTGAAGGATCTCTGACTCAGAAGCAGCATTACAATCTATGGCAGAAACACTACATTCACAGCTCTTTTCTTTTACACCAATAGTTTCCGGATCTTTCCAAAAGTTGTCTTCACTGTCATCTTTCTGCAATTGAGTCACTGGCTGAGAAGTGTCTTTCCATTTATAATTTCTTTTAAGACTATTAGATTCACAGCTCTTATCTTCTGGGTCAAGATATTTTGCCATTTTTTTATCAGATCCTGGTGATTGGTAAGTCGTGGACTGATGAGAGGCATCAATTTGAAAATTTATATCAGAACCATAAGACTCACAGCCTGACTCTTCCAGAATAATATAGTCTTTCTTCTGGTTTACTACTTTGAAAGTTTTTCTGGATTGGTTTGACACTGACTGAGGAGAGGCTTCGCAAACATATCCTAGTTCAGAATCATAACAGTCACAACACTCACCTTCTAAGTCAAAACTTTTTGCATTTATACAGTCAATTCCTTCAACAGTCATTTGAGGTGAGTCAATCACTGGCTGACATTGGATATCAGAATCAGAAATCATTTCGCAATCACTGTCACCGGTCACCAGGTCCACAAGCAGCATCTTTTGAAGATTTGCTTCTTTGACTGACACTTGAAATTCATTAACTACTATTTGAAGGGGGACATCAGAATCAGACATTACTTCAGAATCACTAGTCTTTTCTTCCATGCCAAGATGCGCTACCCTCTGAAGATTCATTTCTTTGCAAACCATTTGAGGTTGGTCAACTTCTAATTGAAAATGAATACCAGAATCACATTTTATTTCTGAAACACTAGGTTCACAGTTCTTATTTTCTAGGTCATTATGATCCTTCTTCTGCAAGTTTATTTGTTTGACCGCCACAGGAGACTGATCAATCACTAACTGAACAGGAGCATCAGAATCACAACGTACTTCAAAATCACCTAGTTTGTAGCTCTTATCTCCCAGGTAAATACAGTCCTCTTTCCAAAGACTTACTTTAACTGCTTTTTCCAGCTGGTCAGTCACAGACTGAAGGGGATCATCAGAAGCAAAACTTATTTCAGGACCACAAAGCCCATTGCCCTTATCTTCCAAATTGTCATGTTCCTCTTCTAAAATGTGTGGCTGCTCAACCGCTGACTGAAGAGGGACATTTGCAACATAAATTACCTCAGATTCACTGGGTTCATAGACCTTATCATGCAGACAAACATGTCCCTCCCTCAGAAGATTTATTTCTGTAGTAGCCTCTTGAATTTCATTAGCCACAGAACGAAAAGGTTCATCAGAGTCAAAATTTACTTTAGGAGCACTAGGGTCAACAATCTTACCTTCCAAGTCTACAGGCTTCTTCCAAAGGTTGATCTCCTTAACAATTTCCTCAGTTTGGCCAGCCACTGACTGAAAAAGGGCATTAGAACCATACATAATTTCATAACCCTTAGATTTATCCTTCTCTTCCACGTCAACTTCATCCTTCCAAAGGCTTATTTCTTTAACAGTTTCCCTAAGCTGGTCAGCCACTGACTGAAGAGGGTCATCAGAATCAAAACTTATTTCAGAACCACAAGATTTATTGTGCTTATCTTCTAGCTCAATACGCTCCTTCTCCAAAATAGTTATTTGAGATTGATCAACTGTTGACTGAACCAAGAAATCAGAATCCAAACTCATTTCAGAACTACTATAGTGGCTGTTATTATCTTCCATATACACATGACCTTCATTCTCAAGGCTTATTTGTTTAACAGATGCTTCCGGTTGATCAGGCACAGACTGAGGAGAAACATCAGAATCCTGTATTAATTTAGAACCATTAGGTTTATCAACTTTATTTTCTAGGCCAATATCCTCTACCTTCCACAGGTTTGTTTTTTTAATCACTTCCTGAAATTGTTCAGTCAATGGCTGAAGAGGGTCATCAGAATCAAAATTCCCTTTACAATCACTAGATTCACTGCTTGTGTCTTCCAGATCAACATGTTTTTCCTTTGAAAGGGTTAGCTGAGATTGCTCAATGACTGAATGACGAGGGGGACCAATATCCAAATTTATTTCAAAACCTCTAGATTCAGTACTTTCTTCTTCTGGGTCAACATGGCCCTCCTTCAAAACAGCTATTTGAGGTTTTTCAGTCATCAACTGAGGAAGGACATCAGAATCCAAAATTATTTCAGAACCACTATACTTATCACTCTTGTTTTCTAAAACACAATCTTCTTTCTGAACACTTATTTCTTTAACAACTACTTGAGGTTCAGTCACTGAATAATGAGAAACATCAGAATCTAAATTTATTTCAGAACCACTAAATTCAGTGCTTTTACCTTTGAATTGAGCATGCTTTTCTTTTTGAAGCCATATTTCTTTAAGAACTACATCAGTTCTTTGAATCACTGACTGAACAGGGATACCAAAATCCAAACTTGTTTCCGAAACACTTACTTCATTACCCTTATCTTGTAGGTTTACACGTTCTTCTTCCTGATGGGTTACTTCTTTCACAGCTCTGTCAGGATAATCAGTCACTAAATGAGATATATAAGATTTCAAAGTGATTTCAGGAACATTAGGTCCATTATTCTCGTTTTCTAACTGCACATGCTCTTCTTTCTGGTTTACTTCTTTAACGGGATCTTCAGAATGTCCAATTACTGAATGAAAACTATCATAATTCAGACTTAATTCAGAGCCATTAGGTTCATTTTCCTTACTTTCAAAGTGTTCCTGTTCTTCTTTTCGAAGATTTAGCCTTTTAACAAGTACTCCAGGAGAATTTGTCACTGAAAGAGGAGGGACATAAGAATCCAAACTTATTTCAGAACCATTGGTTTCATCATTCTTCCTTCCTAAGTGTGCACAGTCTTCTTTCTGAATGATCATTTCTTTAACAGCTACTTCAGGTTGATCAGTCCCTGAAGGAAGAGGTATATCAGAATCAAAAGTTGTTTCAGAAACACAAGATTCATTACTTTTATATTCCTGATCAATACGTTCCTCCTCAGCTACTTGTGATTGGTCAGCTATTGAACAAAGAGGAATATCAGAATCAAAAGTTATTTCAGAACTATTTGACCCAGAGCTCTCACCTTCCAAGTTAATGTGCCTTTTTCTTATTTCTTCAACATCCAGCTGAGAATGCTCAGTAACTGACAGAAGAGGGGGATCAGACTCAAAAGTCAATTCAGAACTGGAGCATCCATAGCTCTTAACTTCCATGTCGACATTTAATTCTTTCGCATTTATTTCACCCAGAGCTCCATGAGGTTGTTCATTAGCTGACTGATAAAGAGAAGCATGAGAATTAAAACTTAGATCAGAAACGCTAGATTTAGCACTCTTATTCTGCAGGTCAATAACTACTTCTTGAGGATTTACTTCCTGAACTGCTACTTGGGGTTGGTCAGCCACTAACTGACCATCAGAGTGAAAACTCACTTCAGGACCATAATATTCACAGTTCATATCCACGAGGTCATTCTTCTCTTTCAGAACATTTATTTCTTCAACGGCCCTCTGAGGTTCATCAGTCACTGTCTCAAGAGAGATACCACAATCAAGATGTGCTTTAGCACTACTGGATTTGTGGTTATCTTTCAGGTAGACATGCCTATCCTTTAGATTTCTTTCTTTGTTAGCCAGTTGGGGATGGACAATTACTGACTGAAGAGAAACATCACAATCAAAACTTGTTTCAGAACAACTCGATCCATAGTTCATATCAACCAAGCCAACTGGAACCTTCTTCTGAAGTTCTGTTTCAGTGACAGCCAATGGGAGTCGGTCAGTCACTGACTGAAGTGGTAAAACAGAATCAGCACTTATTTCAGAGCTACTAGATCCATAGTTCTTATCCACCAAGTCAATGTGTGCCTCCTTAGGAAGGTCTACTTCTTTTGCAGGCTGATGTGGGGAATCATCAGTTGACTGAAGTGAGGTATCACAATCAAAATTCATCTCAGAATCACTAGAATCATAGCTTTCATCAACCAGGCGAATAGGCACTGCCTTCTGAACACTAATACCTTTAACAATTACTTGGGTTCGGTTGGTAGCCAACTGAAGAGGGCCATCACGATCAGAATTAACTTCAGAAACACAAGATTTATTACTCTTATGCTGCAAATCAGCATGTACTTCCTTTGAAGGGTTTACTTCTTTAGCAGTCACTTTAGATTGGTCAGTTAGTAAATAAAAAGAGGAACTGCAATCAAAACTCATTTCAGAACCTCTTGATTCATAGGCCTTATCTTCTTGGTCAATTCTCTCCTCACTCCAAAGGTCTTGTACAGCCTCTTCAGGTTGATCAGACACTGACTGAGGAGAACCACAAGCATACTCCATTTTAGAACTCACTGAGCTCCTCTGTCCCAATAAGACTGACTTGTTAAAAACCACATGCTTTTCTTCTTGGGTACGATCCATATTAGAAAACAATTTCTCATGGTGCTTTGGAATGGCATATTCAAAGATTCTTTTATTAGAAGGTATATCAGTTTTATTCAGGTTGATTGCTGGGTTTGCTGCTAATTTGGAAAGAGATTCACATTTTAAGGAGCCTTCAGTACCCATAAAAGCATGAGCTTTAAAGCCAGTTGACAAAGTCTTACCCCGAGATTTTACATCTTCCTGCGAAATCAATTTATCTAAATTTATACATACAGACTTCCTATTTGATTCTTTAGGTTTCTGATATAAAACTGAAGAAGTTTCTAGATGGGATGAGAACATAGGATTTCTAGGGCCCCTGTCTTGCTGGTCAAGGTATCTGTCAACTTTGTTTGGGTCACATTTGCTAACTGAATCCAAATGGGCTGCTAGTGGTAACCTAGTATTGTTACTTGTACATGATCGATCACAAGAACTTTCAGGTAAACGACTAGCAGGAGCTGTAGAAATCACTGAGGGATATATTAATTTTTGTCCATTATTTGTAGCTTGACCAATACCTACTGGATTAAATTCTCTCAGGCCACTCCCAATTTTATAAACAAACTCCAAGGGCTGCTGCTGCCCCTTCTCCAATTTTTGAATAACTGATGGTCGAATTGGAACACCCTGTATACATTCCTGAGATTTACTAGGTCTAGAATACAATTCTTCAATAGGTTCAGAACTTTTGGTGGCTCTCTCTCCTCTGACTCCGGTAGTATCATCAGCCATTTCTTCAGAAACAGAATCATCTATAGGAACCACTTCAGAAGATGATGCATTATTCCTAAGAAGTCTCTCATTTTGTCTTGATCTAAAAAGAAAAGGAAAAATCATTAAAATATTCTAATAGTTGTTTAAAATGTTTAAATTAAGACATAAGGTTATTTTCTCTTTATCCTGGGCCAGGTTCTTAGGGGACAGATAATTAAGGCCATCACACCAGACTGTATAATGTATTTCAGGAAGGTAATGAGTGCAGAAGATGGAGGTAGCTCAATTGCTATGTACATACAAATACAAATGGCTTCTAAACATAGTATGTAAATAAAGCCATATATCATTTTCCATGTATCAGAATAGTAAATAGCACGAAGTTTAACACACATTACCTAACCTTCTAAGCTTTAGTCCCCTCATCCAAAAAAAAAGGAAATGCTATTTTCTCTCATGAGACTATTTTTAATTGTTGTTTTTTTAATGTTTTACTGATTATGCTATTACAACTGTCCCAATTTTCCCCCTTGACCCCCTTCCACCCAGTTCTCCACTTCCCTCCAGCAAATCCTCACGTTTTTCATGTTCATGGGTCATGCATGTAAGTTCTTTGGCTTCTCCAATTCCTACACTATTCTTAACATCCTCCTGTTTATTTTGTACCTACTAATTATGCTTCTTAATCCTTGCACCTTTTCCCCCCTTTCCCCCCTTTCCCCTCCCAGCTGATAACCCTCCAAATGATCTCCATATCTCTTAATTCTGTTCCTGTTCTGCTTGTTTGCTTAGTTTGGATTTTTAGATTCAGTTGTTGACAGTTGTGAATTTTTTGCCATTTTATTGTTCATAGTTTTGATCTTTTTCTTAAATAAGTCCCTTTAACATTTCCTGTAATAATGGCTTGGTAATGATCAACTCCTTTAGCTTTACCTTGTCGGGGAAGCACTTTCTCTCCCCTTCCATTCTAAATGATAGCTTTGGTATTTGGTAGAGTAATCTTAGTTATAGATCCTTGCTTTTCATCACTTTGCATACTTCTTGCCAGTCCCTTCTTGCCTGCAAAGTTTCTTTTGAGAAATCAGCTGATAGTCTTATGGGAACTCCTTTGCAGAGAATGCTCTGTTTTTTTCTTGCTGCTTTTAAGATCCTCTCTTTAACCCTTGGCATTTTAATTATGATGTGTCTTGATGTGTTCCTCTTTGGGTCCTTCTTGTTTGGGACTTTGTGCTTCTGGGACTTCTATGTCTATTTCCTTTCCCAAATTAGAGAAGTTTACTTTCATTATTTTTTCAAGTAAGTTTTCAATTTCTTACTCTTTCTCTTCTCCTTCTGGCATCCCCAAGATTCAGATGTTGAAACATTTGGAGATGTCCCAGAGTCTTCATATACTATCCTCATTTTAATTCTTGTTTCTTCTTTATGTTCTGGTTGAATGCTTATTTCTTCCTTATGTCCCAAATATTGATTTGAATTCCAGCTTCCTTCCCTTCACACTTAGTTCGCTGTAAATTTTTATTCCACTTAGTGTAAACTTCATTTCTTCCTTTATGTTGTTGCCATACTGAATGAGTTCTTTGAGCATCCTGACTCTGATAGGTTGGTTATCTCTGTTTCATTTAGTTCTTTTTCTGGGGTTGTGTTCTGTTCTTTCATTTGGGCCGTATTTCTTTATCTCTTCAATTTGGCAGCCTTCCTGTGTCTGTGTATTAGGTAAAGCTGCTTTGACTCCCTGTCTTAGGAGTATGGCCTACTGTAAAAAGAAAGGCAACTGTAAATTGTGTGGGGCAGAGCCTTAGGTTCGCCACAGTGGGGTAACCCACTTCACCACTTTGTGGCTCTGTGTAGGGGGTGGGCTTGGAGAGGGGAAAATACCGCTGCCTGGCTTCTGGGAGTGTGCCCAGTAAGTCCCCACTTCCAGCCACTTCACCCACTCCCCCTATGCGACTAGCACCCTTCCAGCTGTTGCTTTTGTGCTGAATCCCAGATTTTGGGTGGATTTGCATATGTTCTAAGACCATGTGGGCCCTCTAAGTGGAGTTTCCAGAAAATCCATCAGTTTCTTCTGCTGCCCCAACCCACACTGGTTTTTACACCCTGAAGTTAATGGAATTTATCTTACTGGCACTGGAACCCTGAGCTGTGCATTCTGGCATGGAACTGCGATCGCCCACTCCCAAGGTATCCCTCTCAATTTTTGTCTACCACACCTGAATGTAGGACTGCCCACTCCATACCACACCTCATCTCCTTGCCTCTCTACCCATCGCCATGTCTCCACCCCTCCTAACCATCTGAATGAATGTGGCTTCTTTAAATCCTTGGTTGTCGGACTTTCATAAAGTTCAATTTTCTGATAGTAGTGGGTGTTATTTGTTCTGAGATTTAGTTGTAATTCTTTTTATAGTTGCACAAGGAGGAAAGCGTGTCTACCTATGCTTCCATCTTGATTGGAAGTCCTCCCTCATGAGACTGCTTTGAGAAGTAAATTAGTTATTACATGTAGAGAGCATTTTTTTAAAATGATTTTATTCATTTATTTTTAGAGAGAGGGAAAGGGAGATAGAGGGAGAGAAACATCAATGTGAGAGTGAAACATCAACAGGTTGCCTGTCATATGAGCTACAACCAGGGACCAAACCCACAACCTAGACATATGCCCTGACAGGGCATCAAAGCAGTGATCTTTTGCTTTGCTGGATGAACCCAACCAAGCCACACCAGTCAGGGCAAAGAACATTTTTTTTTAAGTCTGGAAAATACTAATGATTAACTATTATTATTTTAACACATCATTTTGGCAAGGCTGCGATGACCAGCACTTTAATGTATTATTGGTAGGAGTATAGATTAGGTTAATTTCTAAAAAGAACAACTGGCAATGTCTATTAAGATTAAAAATGTCAAGAGGGGTCTAAAGAGACATGACAAGTTAAGGTAATATGGTTATCCTGGATGGGATCCTGAAACAACAAAAAAAATTAGGTAAAAACTAGAGAAATCTGAATAAACTACAAAATTCAACTAATATAAGATGTTAGTAATAGGGTACTGGGTAAGGGGGTATATAAAAAGTACATGTAGTATCTTCTCAAATTTTCTGACCATCTAAAACTATGTAAATATGTAGTCTATTTAAGACAGGGGGAGGTTAAGAATAGTATAGGAAATGGAGAAGCCAAAGAACTTATACGTATGACCTATGGACACGAAGGGGGGGAATGCTAGAGGGAGGGGCGGTGCAGGGCAGAGGGGGATGAAGGGGAGAAAAAAATGAGACAACTGTAATAGCATAATCGATATACTTAAAATATATGTATAGTCTAAAATAATAAAAATTGAAATAAATTAACATCTACAAAAATACCTTTATTAAATATTTTCAACTTGAGAGATGCCACAATTGCCTAAGAGAATATGCACACATGTTGGCTACATGCAACTTTTTAAAAACATGTCATAGATATTACTCATGCTTTCTTTCCCATAAAAATTATTATCATAATTATATTAAGATAACGTTTTTGGTATTTGTAAATTAGAAAAGTTAACTCTGCTATCAAAATAGTATCACAATGAACCAAAAGTTTCCCTGTTTCATACTTCTGAACTCTAATAAAAAAATTGGAGTAATCACATTACCCTAGTTTTTCAGAACCCTACTAGATTATCTCCATTTGTCTTAAAGACTATCACAACATTCTCAAAATCAATTTTGTATCATGTGGCTAATAAAAGAGAGAAAGGAAAGACAAGCAGAAACAAAATCCAACAAGCTGGCAAAAATCCCCAAAAAGTTAGCAATCATCATTTATATGCTTAGATTTGCATCGACGTCTGTGTGTATGTGTATGTTTGAAGTTAAAAACTGAATCACCATCTTAAACTAATCATCATTTTAAACTAATTTTACAACAACAACAAAAAAAAAACCTTCAAAAATCTAATGACCAGAGGTAAGAAAACCACTCTGTAACCCATGCTAAAAAGCAAAAATTTTAAAACTATCTATACCTATGCGATGTCAAAACAGAAACTTCAAATTTTTAAACCTTCCATTAAAAAAGAATACGCACAAATTAACTAAATGACCAACTAATTCAAGTAGATAGAAGGATAACCAAATTCCTCCCCCTAGAGAGTTGAAGAAATAAATCAATAAAAACCAATAAATAGGAAGCAAAAATGAAGCAAGAGCTGATTTTTAAGATGGCTAAAATCTCTAGACAAGAAGGCAAGAGAGAAATTTTTTTAAAACTCTACTTTAGAAAGCTTATAAGCATAATTAAATAATGTTGTGTTGGCATGGGATTTAAAAACTCAAGGAAAGAAAACTGTATTCAAAAATCAAATATACAGATACACAATTTAGAAATTTATCTTGCAGGTGATATTTTATATCAGTGGAAATATAATTAATATAAATTTATAAAAAATAAGTACAAATGCTGTCTCAGACTACATATTTTAAAAATTCCGGGAAGATTAAAAACATTTAAAAGAAGACACAAGGGCATAAAAAAAGACATAGAAAATACCATAAGAAATTCCCCTAGACCTGATTATATCAAAATGTTTAATTTCTATATCGTAAAAGGGATACATAGTTGAAAAATACAACAAATTCTGAGAAAATATTTACAACATCTTTAAAATATAAAAAACTAGTATCCATAAATATTGCCTATAAATCCAAAATATACAAATAATTCAACAGAAAAAACCACAAAGTATATGAACAATTCAGAGGATAAATACATGGCTAATAAATATATAAATAGAGAAGTTTTACTTAACTCATAAATCATTAAAGTAAGAGATATACTTTTTTGGTCTACTATGTTGGGAAGAACAAACAGGACTGCTATCCCCCCCCCCGGTGCTGGCGAGGACGACAGGAACAGCGCACTCTCATAGAGTGGCGGTGAGTGTGTATAAACACAAGTTGTATATAAACACGAGTTGTATAAACTGCATATAAATTTGACTAGCCTTTCTCTGCTGCCACCAGTTTTTCTGTTACTAGTCTTTTAAAAGCTACTTTCGTTGCCACCTTTTCCCTGTGCTTAATTCTAACATACTTATCAAACGTCTTAATAGTATATAATAATAATTTACTGCTCTAAAACTTTTATTTGGGAAAAAGTATTATACAGTCCATATCTTTTATAGTGAAATGTGCTACTTAAAGTAGGAAAAATAAAAAAATAATTTAAATTTTTTTTTTAAAAATAAAGGAAAATTACTAGGTAAATTTCACATTATATTCCCTGATTCAAAGATTGACTTTAAGAAGCACTGAAATGTGAACACAAATATCTACTGTAACGTATATCAACTATTGACTAGTCTTATTCCATTCAGTTATTTTACCTGCTTTCTTGATAATGATATGGGTGGTGCCGCAGTACATCCTGCAAGAAACGTTCCATCAAACTGCTGGAACCCATCCGTTGTCTATTCTGTGAGGTCAAGTATCTGTGCTGAGGACTGGACATATGCTATAAAGAAGAAAGAAACTGAATATTTTCAAATGGGTAATACTCAGTAGTGAGAGTGAAGTATAAACTGATGTGCTGTTTCTATAAAGCAAGTCTAAAATATACATCTAAAATCCATAAAGTTAACTTTCCCTTAGATACAACAGTTACATCTTTCTAAGTCTCTCCTAAAGAATCATCTTAAATGTGGAAGATTTTTGTAAAAAATGATACTTATCACAGATTTATTATCTGCCTCATGTTTATAATGGCATTAAAAAGTACGTTATTTTTTTTAAAAAGGCAAAGGTGTGGAAATCACAATAGAAAAAACTTGTCCTTAGTATGAATTTAAGTGATTACTATTAGATGGTTAAACTCAAAATGAATTTATTAAATGTTCCACTAAACGGCAGAATTTTTACATATTATAAACCTGTGTTTGATATCATAAAATTTTAGCGCTAGCAGAATCAGAACTTCATGATATCACAATTTCGCCTGTAACACAATTCCCATACAAATATAGATGCAGAAATCCTCAACAAAGTATCAGCAAACCAAACCCAGTAACATATGAAAAGGATTATATACCATAGCCAAGTGAAATTTATCCCAGGAATGCAAAATTAGTTTAACATCTGAAAATCAATCAATTATAACTGCTCTAGGTTGAATTCTGTACCCGTGCCCCCCCCGCCCCGAAATGCATGTTAAAGTTATAACTGCCAATATGACTATATTTGGAGACAGGGCTTTCAGGAGGTAATTAAATCACATCATATAGAAAAATTAACTCAAAATACATCAAAGACCTAAATGTAAGAGTTAAAACTACAACACGCTCACAGAAAAACACAGGCATAAATCTCTGTGACCCTGGATTAGACAATCTTTATGACACCCACAACACAAGCAACAAATGGAAAAAAGCTAAATGCAACTATAGCAAAATTTAAAACGTTTGCGCATCAAAGCATAAAATTCCGAGTCCTCACCTTCTTTTACAATATCTTACAGAATGTAACTCTCTGACTTCTTTGCCTACCATTCAGCAGCCGCTCCCATCCCCACCCTACCTCCACTGCCTCCTCTCTGGCCTCCTGGCTGGTGGTTAACACACCAACCACCCATCAGCGTCTCTGTCCTTGCTCTCTCTCCCCCCTCTACCTAGAGATTCTTCCCCTAGATTTGAACAAGCCTGGCTCCCACACTTCATTCAAATCACAACTCCAATGTGACTTTCTTAACCTTGCACCTGGCCATCCTATCTAAAATTGTACTCCCTAGCTCATTTTATTTTCTTTGTAAGATCTGTAACAGTCTGACATGCTGTATACTAAATTTATATGACTATTTCCTGTTTTATTGTACCATAATGTAAGCTTCATAAATAAAGGGACCTGGTTTTGTTCATGGTCATGTTCTTAGAACCTTAAAGAGTGTCTGTCAACTACTAGGTTCTTATTATGATCTGTTCAATGAATGAATAAACTGAATAAAATGTAAAGGAAGAGGAAGTCATTACCAAGTCCTTGGAGGTATAATTACCATATTAACAGGATCCTCTCACCTGTTCCAGATTATTATAGCGCACACAGCAAAAGCTGCAATATCCTTGTCTGTTCTGCATGTTGAATAACCAAAGTCAAAAGGTATTGTCGTTGAACACTCAAACTGGAAAAAGAAATGGCAAAATCACAATGATTCCTTGCTATCACAAGGAAACTGGCTATGATAATATCCGAGAATAGAAATTCATTCCTGAGTCCTACCCACTCTTCTCATAACTATGAAAACAGAGGAGGCTTCCTTCCACATGAACTATGAAATCCACCTGTGAGCCTGGAGTGGCGATGACAGCTTGTATATCTTCTAAAACAGTAGCTTGGTGACAATGACTGAAGCCTAGATGATTAAGTTTTTTTTTAACTTGTTAGCATTGTTAGGACTAATTCAGTATTGAAGAATATCTTCTTACTCAATTTTAAAAACAAGTTACTATTTCTAAGTTGCTACTACAGAATATTTAATAAGTGCTGATGAGGCTCATGAGTTTTCCCATTATCCTTCTACACAAAATCCCAAGTTACTTAAATTGCCACTGTCATATATAACATCTATCTCTCTGTCATGAGAGTAAAGATGCCACTTATATTTTCTGCTTAGTCTAGAGACAGATTTTGAAATAATTTACCCAACAAAGTTGCTGAAAATCAAATTAATAACTTATTTAATAATTTAGTCTCTGAAACACAAGACATTTCTCTCTGACAATTACATAAACCAAACAGATGAGGAATTTTTTCCAATTGGTATAATGAAATTTTGCTACAAATAGTTTCTAAGTTTCTACCCTTTAAAACTATAACCCTCCAATATTGTATACTACAGTGGTTTCCAAATCAGAATACCAACATCATCCCCCAAAATACTGATTTTGTAGAGTGGAGACAGAGTATAGAATTTAGAATTTCTGAAATTCCCAGGTAATTTTGATACACAGCCAGTTCATCCATTGACACAAAGTATATATAGTTTGATTATTTTAAGTAATAAACTCAATACAATACAGTTTTTGCTTTGTTTTCTTAAAGTAGAACTGTAAGAAATAACTTATTACATTTTTCATTCTGATTATTTTAAACATTGTATGTTGGAAAATATACAGAATGGTCCTATAACAAGTTATGAATATTTCTCATAAAGATGACCCTACAACAGGAAAAATTTACTCATTAAAATCAATGTTTAAAAAGTGAAATCAGAGCCTTAAAACCTAAGATGAGAATAGAAAAAAGCTTAAGTCAAAATGCTATAATATTCACTTACCTATTACTTTTTATTATGAGAAACTTTGACTTTTTGACTTCCCACACTTATGAGGAAACCAAATCAATTAAAACCAGCCTCTGAAATAAAGAATATATAAGAAATTACTTACTTGTAATTTGCTCTTATTTCCATTAATTTACTTCATTTGTCATCACATCTGAAGCAACAAAATGAAACAAGCTTAAAATTGTATTTATAGATACAGTCATTTTCAGGTTGAGAGAACTCTAGAGCTTAAACTTAAACTTGGAAAGTCACTGTAGTGTTTTATTTAAAATACAATTAAAATATTCACTGAAGCAGAGGCAAAGTGAAAATACGAGTCTACTATCACACACACATACACAAAATTTAAATGCTTTTAATATTTTTCAAATCTTTAACCCTTATGTCCTTCAAGTCCCATGGCATTGTTACCTGCTATTTCCATCATCTCTAGTGTCACATACATGCTACAATGACAATGAGCTACAATGAATCGGAAGCATTTGTTGGCATTTTTTAAAATTCACATGCTAGGACCCTACCTAAAAAACCTTACTGAACTGAAATCTGCTGATGAGAGACAGGCCCATGCATATTACGCATATTTAAAGTGCTCCCTGATGATTCTGATATGGGTTGAACCAATAATATAAGACATCTTTTTTATGTCCTAATAAAATTCTTACTTAAAGGGATCATTTCTTTGGGGTCTGGGATTATATTGCATTGCATGACTGAATAGGTCTTTTTATATAAACTCTGAATTCTACCAGTACCTGATATTTTTATGAAGTAACAAATCATTTACCTTGAGCAGAAAAAGGCAGGTACTTCATCAGCTATATTAGTCCTGGCAAACATCTGTAAATTAAAATAAAGCAATTTTTTTTAAAAAGATAAGCTGTGTAAGTGTCTGCCACTGGCCAAATAAACTACCTCCGAGTTCTATCTCAGTTTAAAAAGTGACACAATGAAGTTTCCAATAATAAGAGAAAAAATATTAGCCTTTGAACACGAAGCACTTTATATGCTATGACCCCCAAAGATGTCCTGCAGCAGAGTGCCTGTGATGGCCCACACAACCCCTATCAAATACATCAGATCTCTGGGGTCCGAGAATAGCATCTGTAAAAAAGGAGGGCAAAACTGTGCCTCTAAGGTTAAGAACAAAGATACCATCAAACCCAAAATAAACTTCATGAGAAACTTTTAAAAGAAATATTTATGTGAAACTTTAGTTTCTTGACTAACCACCCCACTCTTAACTGCTGTGTTAGTTCTAATGAAAGATATTGCCCATTATTTATCATCTATTTATTTATTGACAATTCAGCCAAATTATCATTTTTTTTTATTTTCCCACACATTGTAGGCACAGTGTTGACTATATTATCCAGGCTTACTGGTTAACAAAAAAATGCCAATGCTTTGACTCAGAAGAGCTGGTGACCCCGACGTATAATCAAGGAATAGATTGTGTTTAAGGGTCCACCATAGAAGCTTTAAGGGATAGAGAAAAATACAAAACAAGCTTTCTTTCTCTTAAGAAGTTTAAAATGGAATTGGGAAATTAATATAAAAAATACCAGATGGTATCTGAGAACTGCCTAAGCACAAATAATAAATGCTAATGGGTTTTAACTGGAAGAGCCAGGATGTCATGATAGGTACGTTGTTGTTTTTTTAATTGGAAATTGGAAAATAGGTAGAACTTGCTTACACAAAGGTCAGGAAAAGATACTCCAAGTAACAAAAAAGCAAAAGTACAAAAGCAAGAAAGCACAGGTATATTTGGAGATAATAAGCTGACAAGTACAGATAAAGCTAACATTTCATTTAAGAATTCAAGGGGCAATAAAGCAAGAAAAGTTGATTTGAGTTTTGACATGACAGGTTTAAAAGCAGACTGAAGAATCTAGACCATTTCTTTAGGCACTATGGAAATATTTTGAAAAGCAGTGCTCCATACTCAAAGAATGCTTTAAGAAAATTCTGGAACAATGGTTCTTTCCTACTCAAAGGAGCTTTTTTTCATAGGGTAAGGAATGTAACTGTTAAACTCTTCAATACCATTTCCTAGAATCCTGGTGAAATTAGTTTACACCCAAAATATCCATGTAAGAATCTGTATCCCTTAGAGCAAAGGTTTAGACTCATTATGCTTGCAAATTAGGAACACAATCACAATACTTTTTCTTTAAAAAATGACTTTTATTATTTTTAGTATAAAAGTAAAACACACTTTATAATACAATTATAAATCTAAAGAAATAAAAAGCATAAAAATCTGCCATAATGCCACTAGCCACCATTAACATCGTATATTCTTTTTTTTCTAAATATGTTTTTATAAAAATGGAATGATACCATTCAATCGATTCTATAGCCTCTCTGTCACTTAACCATATATGATAAGCACCTCTACATAGTATTTAATTCCTAAACAAAATGTTTAACGATTGCATAGTAAGATTAAAAAAAAAGCCCTCTTATCTGACAAGACCAAGCAACTGGTGAACTTTTAAAAAATTCATCAATATGATGATTTTAAAAATACATAAACACATAATCTTACTATTTTATATAACTTAAAACATAGAAATGTATATACGTTTGATGTAAGGTCAAACTAGGCTCTTTTGTTTCACTGAGGGTTTTTGTGCATAGGACAGCTGGAGTTCCAAGTCATATTTTTTTCTTTCTTTCAAAAACCTCATCACAATACACGCTCAACAAGTTTCCATTTTCATTCCCCTAAAGCAGAAGAACTTAAAAGACATACGCAAAATGAGAGCACTATTAGGGCCGTCTGGATTCTGTCCAACGCTTTACAGTTGTCACACCCAATTAAGTATTTTTGCAAAAGCCTCATTTTTAGTCCAAAGCATCCAATTTATTTTTCATAAATATGACAGCATTATTAAACATGACAATGCTTACACTCTTATTTCATCGATTTATGTAACATTTAACATGGATAAAACGATCTGGGGCAGTGAGCAGAGACTCTGAACTGTGTGAAAAAACTTCAGCACAGCTCTCTCAAAAATGAAATAAAATTGCATTTATTTTCTTGAGACGGTTTCTTGCACACCTGAGACCTGTACGTGTTGGTGAAATGAGTTCAGGGTTGTAGTGTGTGAGTTTCTCAAACTGACTTCAGTGTTGAAATAAAAGCTAACAAAATCTAGAATCCTTATGGGAAAAAAATTTCAACAGCCTGACAAGAGACACACTGATTTACTAGAAAAGACAATAGAAGGGCATTTGGTCTGAAGAATAAAATAATTTACATTACTTGTCTAGGAGTAGGGACGCGATTGGGGGACAGTCACAAAACAATGGCCAAATAATATGTTAAAAACCTAATTCAATGTTCCTTTCTTTACAATGCTAAACTGATTTTCAATTTACCTCTGGTGACAAGCATCATCCTGGATACCTCAGTTCAGTCTTTTAAAATAATAATAGCTAGCATTTAGTGAGTGCTTCATCTGGGCCAGGCACTGTGTCAACAATTTCACAAGCATTATCTCATCTCAACATCAAACAGTCTTTTAAGGTTGGTGTTATGATAACTCTCACTTTACAAATCAAGAAACTGAGGTTTAAAGAGAAGCTGTGTCTTTTTCCAGGTCACACGCCAATAACCAGTGTGACTGGGATTTGACCCTAGGTCAATCTGAGCAGTTTATGCTCTTAACCTTTTAACTGCTATAAAATGCTTCCTCTCTGCATTTTCAGGAATGCTAATTACTTGTTTTAATATTAGATGAAAACAAATAATTAAGAATCTAATTTGCTGCAATAAACACTGTCACATATTCCAAAGAAAAGAGTAAAACTAATGTTTGTCTTAATTGCATCATTGCTCCCATTCTGAGACGGGTGCGGACAATACCTTGCATTAGTGACTTTCAAAATTAAATAAACGTGTTGAGCAAAAAGGGCAAAAGGACTCATGGACATGGACAACAGCGTGGTGACTGCTGGGGAAGAGGGGGATATAAGGAGACTAAATGGTAATGGAAAAAAATACAATAAAGATTAAATGTAAAAAAATAAAAATTAAATACCGTGGCACAGAAAAGCAATACATTTTATATCACAATCCAGCACGCACGCGCAGGTACCCATGCACACCCCCTCTCACACACACACAGTTTTGCAAAACAATACCCTCATGATGCGTAATGTAATAATGCATTCCGGTATTTTCTATGCTATTTTATTTCGGTTTTCTTAAATGCTAGTAGAGTCACCAAATTAATTTCACAATTTACCAATGGATTGAAAACTGCAATTTGAAAAAACATTGCCTCAAAATATTAAGCAGAGCAAACAATATTTTATAGAAGATGGTTGCTACCCTGAATTCAGTTTATTTCTATCCAATATCTTGGCCATTACAGCGATACTTTATCAAATTTTTAACAAGTGTCTTTACTAAGGCTGACCATTGGCTAAGGTGCTGGGAGAAGAAATTCACTGCCTTCCACGCTTTGGGTCCAAATCAGTGCAAGCTGAGAGGGCAGTGGAAGGATATTCATGCATCGATATAGAAAAAGTCCTTAATGCAGTTTTTAAAAAAAGGTGGGGGCAGATTATATTAGTACCCCAACTACATAACACACGAATATAAATTATGAACCCCAAAATGTTAATAGTGACTTTTGAAAATGAGATTGCTATGAGCTTTTTCAGTTTTTTTCCTGATAGTATAGACACTATTTGCAACAAAAAGCCAAATATAATTGTATTTTGGGTGTAAAACACGTTTTAGTTCCTTTAGGGCCACTCTCTCTGCACGCATTTCTTCCACGCGCTACCAGAATCATCGCGTCGGATGTTAGAAGCTGGAAAGGGCCTTTTTAGGAGCACGTAGTGACAACGGCGTAATTTGACCAGATTTACACAACTGTTGCACGGCGATAGTAAAATAATCGTTGCCACAAAAACCTAACGTTTCTAAAATAAATTCCAAATGCAGGAGGGTAGTAAAGGCCTACTTCTGGGGGCAGCTGGACACAGCGCAAGGCACAGGGGGAGGGGGATTTGTAGACAGGTGGCTCCGGATCTCGACCCCACAGGTGCCCGTGCAATTCCCCGCGGGTAACAAAGCTCTAAATCCAACCTCCGCTTATTTCCCCGTCTCCAGGCCCCAGCCCAAGGCCTCGTCCACCGTGCCCCTCCGACCCAGGGCCCCCGACAGAAGCACAAGGCTGCCCGCGCCCCACCTCCACCCCTCGCCCCGGACACCGCGATCCCGGCCCGGAGTCGCCAGCCCGCTGGCGCAGGAGGGGCAGGAAGGGACTGGGGTGAGGGGAAGCCGAGGACCTGCGAGGCGGTTGCGGGAGCCGGGCGAGCTGTCCGTGCGTCCCTCGGGAGGAAGAAGGCACCCAGGGCGCAAGGCAAACAGGCCCCACCCCCGGCCGCGCACACAGAGCCCGCGGGCGTCGCCCGGGCTGCGCGCCGACTCGGCCAGCCAGTCCGCGTCCGCCCCCGCTGCTGTTCTCACCTCCGTGGAGGCCGCCCGGATTCCTTCCGGGCCTCGGTAGAGGCCGAAGACCGGTGGGTTCGCTCCCTTCCTATTCCGGTTCCATGGCGGTGCCTAGACCCCCGAGCCGTCCAGAGCGCCGCGGCCGCCCGCGCCTGCTGCCCGCTGCCCGCTGCCCGCGGAGCCAGATACAGGAGCCACCAGCTTCTCCCGCCGATGCGAGAGGAGAAGCGAAGTGAGAGCGTCACTTCGCAGGACCTGGGCCCCCAGTCACGACTCAGCCCACGTAGTCCTCCAGGGGCAACGCTGCGTTGCAGCCCCGATTGAGGTTTGACGTCAGGGAAGGTGCGAAAACAAGGCCCCTTCTGACGCAGGAACAGCGGGACCGCCCCCAGCCCACCCCCAGCCCCGGCGCCGGAGCCCCCTTCCTCCCGCCCCCAACCCTCCCCTCCCCGACATCTTTTAAAGCGAACACTTCCTCCAGGGTCAGGGCCCCACTCCGAGCTTGTGAAATCAAACCTGTTTCAAACAAAATGACCAGGCTTATAGCACAGTTAGGACGTGAGATACACACCAAGGTTTTATTATCTGAGGGGCCAAATAGAAAATGCTTCCCAATGCAAAGCAACACATGAGCTGCAGAAAAGAAAATGGGGCTCAGAGGGGCTAGTCATTTGCGCCGTTCCGGTGTGTTTCCCGCAGTGAAATGCATCTAACAAAAGCTGCTGTTTAATGAGCGCTTGATTGGTGCTAGGCACTGTGTTTAAGGTTTCTATGTGATTCTTGCATTTCATCCTCAAGGCAACCCTTTAAAAGATCTTATAACGAATCCTGTTATACCCTTTTGACAAATGAAAAAGACCTAGGCTGGGAGAGGTTAGGTATTCAAAGACCTACACTGCACGTGAAAGGGTTACGAATATTAATCAAAATCAAGTCAGTTATTCAGTGATATTCTCTACTACCCACTGCGAATATAATTTTGTGTAAAAACAGCTTAGTGTAATGAGAGACACAAGCCCGAATTCATCACGCTCCTGAATGTATTATAATCTGTGATAAGGAAAATAATCATAGCTAAAATGGAGAGAGCGAGCCTCTGTTTGAAGAGCTTATGTCTTATGTGAAAATAATCATAGAATGAGCTACTTTGCTCTTTGGTAATTGCTGTAATTATCATTTTTTTGATAAGCTTGTGACTTTGTCCCCCGCCCCTTTTTTGACTTGTCCATTGCTTTTGCATTCATAGTTTCCATTCTTTGTGTATATTTCAGCTCCTGCCTCCCCTACTACATCTTTCTCCCACGTGAAATCTCGGCTTTTGCAACTGTTTGTCTTATCACCCCCTTTAGATTTTTTTTAAGACACAAAGAAAGTAATGACTTTTTTTTAAAGGCAAACTCTTTCCACACCCCAAGCTTGGAATTGGTGAAAGAAAATTCATTATACATTAACCCAGCCACCATGACATAATGTATTTCACAGATGCTAAGACACACATTTTTTACACTTTAATGTCTCTGAAAACAGGATGCATTTTACAAACTGGGCTCTTAATAATGGCCAGGGGGCTGTATTAACATAGTTGTCATTGACAGCACATACAGAAACTTGGATATAGCCAAATGTTCACATTGTCCTTATTACACCTGAGCTGAGTGTATTGTTTAATAAAACCCACAACCCTAAGGGAACGGAGTTAGCAGGTATAGGAGTCTGTAAGACTTGAAGAGTCCTAGGAGAAGAGGGAAGATTTTCCTAGGACCAAAAAGAGATTCCTCCAGCACTTAGCAAAGAGAGATATGGGACTGGCTAACAGCTATTAGACCCCTGAGTTACTCACCAAGTACATTAGTTCTTAATGCATATTGGAAACCTATGTCTGAACAGTTAAATGATAAGCTCTAATGCACACACCTCCAAAAAAGTGAAATGTCTGAGTTATTATTCCCGATAGTATGGTTGGTCAATTACAACCCCTCTAAGTTTTAGTCAAAAAAGAAAAAATCATTGAAGAAGGAAAATGAAACCTGAATGTAACTGAAAAGAATCCATTAACCTCTTCTGGTTAGGTCAAGAAAGTGCCAGCATGAAACTTGAAGAACAGGATCAGTTGCTTGGGAAAAAATGCTGGATTCAGCCCTGGCTGGTGTGGCTCAGTGGGTTGAGTGCCAGCCTGCAAACTACAGGGTCACCAGTTTGATTCCCTGTGAGGGCACATGTTTGGGTCGAGGGCCGGGCTGGGCCACCAGTTAGGGGTGTGCACATGGCTACTGATTAATGTCTCTTTCACACATCGGTGTTTCTCTCCCTCTTTTCCCCTCTATCTAAATAAATAAATAAATAAATAAATAAAATCTTAAAAAACAAAACCAAACCAAAACCCTGGATTCAATAGCGGAACACTTTTAAGTCTTGATGCATCACCACCGCCTTTGGTGGCACAGAAGACAATACTGCAGGGAAAACCACGGCCATTCAACAACTGACTCCAAAAGTGATTGAGTGGCTTGGTTGGAGCGTTGCCCCTTGCACACCAAAAGACTGTAGATTTGATTCCCGGTCCGGGCACGTACCTAGGTTGCAGGTTTGAACCCTGGTTGGAACACATCCGGGATGCCGATGCATGTTTCCCTCTCACATTGATGTTTCTCTTTCTCTCTCTCTACCCCCTCTTCCTCTCTCTCTAAAATCAAATTTTAAAAAATATCCTCACGTGAAAATTTTTTAAAAGTGATTTAGACAACTGGGAAGTTTTAGAACACCTTAACCAATTTTATATTTCCCTTTTTATGTATGCACGAGATTGATACATAATAACCTGTTTCTAAGTCTGAAAGAGTTCTTTGCCTGAGTATGAAATAAAAATACTAAATTACAAGAAATCGTTGCATTTTAGTTTAGTTGGCAGCACTTTTTTATCCTAACAGATATTACCGTAAACTTAGAGGAAGTGCCACCCTGCACCAGATGAGCAGCCCTTCCAGACTAGAACTCTGTCTAGTGGCAGTGGGGACTTTTTTAGCAGAGCTTAATTATCCATAAGGTGGAGCTCTAAAAATTAAAAAAATTTCCCCCATCCTTTGTTAACCCACTATAAACAAGACCCATTCATTCAGCAAATATTTATTTAAAGGACCCTAGGAATCAATATTGGTTTTTTATATGCACCCAATTCCCTCCCCAGAAAGAGAGTGGGGAAAAGATCCTCTGTATGTGTTATTCAGCAGAAGAATAAAAACTGCTTTTTTATGTCCAGAAATCATTAGAATAATTCCTGTTTTTTTGTAAGCTGTTTAAGCCAACATTAGTCTAATGTCTTAAGGGAAAATGCAACTGGGAAAACCTAGATCTCATTTCTGAATCATAAAAAAAATTAGATTCCATCTGTTTAAGAGTTTGGATTATTTTTCTCCCAAATTCTATTACTGTACACATCTACCTATTCACAAATAGGTGAGATTATTACGAAGCTCTTACCCATTAGCCTGGCATTTCAATTCTTTACAGAGTATAATGTCATCTTTAAAGGAAAAGTAGTCATTCATATTCTGCATCCAAATCAAAATTTTAAAATCAATGAGAAGGGTACAAAGTATCTCCGTACATTTTGTCTTGATTCCTCCTCATAAGATGGTCCCCATCCTTGACAAAAATCTCATTCAAAAGGAGAGGGAAGGATGATAATGCTAATGTCTTCATCTTACTGACTATTCGAACAAGAAGGAAAAAGAGGTTCATGAAAAAAGAATCCACATTATATAACCTAAGATTGCAGAGGTATATGGTGGGCATACGGATAATAGTGTAAATGTGAGGACAGACAGGAATGCAGGAGGAGGCTGTGTACATGGGTTAAATCCTCATACTTCAAGTAAGAGTTTCATGTATAACGTGTGAAGCCGGCAAATCACCAACTAACAATGGAAGCCTATTTTTAACTAAACCCAAACATGATCCACCATAACTGAAGACAATAAATTTGTTTTTAATATTTGTTTCTGTTTGTCAGGAGTAAATGTGGGCAAAGGCATGGCAGTGGAGCCAGTGACCACAACTCTAGTAACATTCCCCGCAGACCAATTTAAAAGTATGCACTATGAGATTTAACTGCTCTATAATTATCTTCCCATCCTATTCTTCCTTCAATCTAGTCAAACAAATTATTTCCACTTTTAATTCTGTAGATACACCTGTAATACAACTTCATACAAAGACATGTTTGGGACACAGTTTGACATCGTTTGTTTCGAATGCATAATTCTTTACCAATTCTTATCCTATTCTATTCCGTTCTTTTTTTCTTTCTCTGCTTCCACTCTTTTGTTCCTACCCACCCATTTTTTAATGTTCCTTTCATTTTTTCTAACTAAAACACAATGTGTACCCCTTAAAGATAGTGCTTTTCACTTGTGGTGATAATAAGGACTGAAAATGTTGCTTGCCTCACACTTGTTCCTTTAATTGAAAAATCATTTCAAAGCTTATGTCCTCTGCAGTTTAACTTTTTAAAAAATTAATTATTGTCTTCTCATAAAATGAAGTCATCAATATGAGAACTATATTCTTGAGCTTTTCCCGCTGTTTAAACTCCCAAATGTCTTCACTGGTTGACTAGCAACAACATAGAATTACGTCATTGCTGCAGTGTCGCCCATATTACTCCCAAAGTCTCTACAAGATTCCTGAGAACCACAGAGTCAATTGTATTAGCTCTATTTTCTTATTTTATTCCTGATGCTCTGACATCTGGAGCCCAAAGACTCAAGGAACCCACCATCCCAGAATTAACTATTTCTGAGACATCACAAACAACAGGCCTGCCGGCAAAACTTTGTTATGCAAATGAAGTAATACCTAAGTCCATACCCTCACTGGCTATGGTTATCAGACCTCTGCTGTCC